ACGTTCCAATTTGTAAATCGATCATTCGATGCGGAACGTGAAATGATATTTTAAATATTTTATATTTTATTATCTTATTAAAAATTGTGATTTGACGGAAAAAATATTAAAATATTAAAATTATGGAGATTTATCTTAACACCCTTGAAGGCGATAACCTGCATTTCTCCAATCTTGTAACTGGAATTGTATACTGTTCGGTTCCTCCTGCAGACAGAAACCTTCGAACACTTGCCACGCCATTTTACGATCCACTGTGCCATAACGCTGACTATCAGAGCTGTTGATTTAACCGCTCTCTGTACGCCTCTCCCGTGCGTGAACTTTGGAAATCTTTTGCCCTCTAAACTGCTCACGAGGCTTTATGGTAAACCAATGTCCACATTACGGCAAATACAGTTCAGGATGCAAATATAATTTATTGGTACGTTTTACATGCATTATATTTAATGTGAGTTAAGATAATATCTGCGGTCCTTCCAAAAAAACTGACTTCATTTACCCAACTACTCTTCACCGTCGACTGGTTCTTATTTCGGAGATCCAGAGCTGAAACTTTGATTCAACGCCGACAGTCTGAGTTATTTCAGCGTAGTTAAATTAAACACAAGTTAATAATTCAATAAATCTAACAGAGCCAGTTAGGTTTTGTGCTGTCACGTCTGATATCGCTCGTAAAATCCACCTACCACGTACTCATAACCTTAGTACCTAAAGGCCATTTAAACGATACTATGTAACAAATCCATAGTGCAGAGATTTTCCTTCTTATTTGTGGTTTATTTATAGATGCTGTCATTAGATCGGACTATATCGACTGAGAGGACTAATCAACTGGAAAGAGTATGAAGTCGTAGATATAATTTAAACTACTGAGCCTGGAAGGACTGAGTAAAACCACAAAACTCTCATACAAAATACTAGGCCGATATTTAGACAAGGGATCTCCAGAATACGATAACCACTCGATCACAACGTTCGGTGAAGAGTTAGTATTAAGAATACCCCAAGGGTTCATTATCTTGTTTCCAAAGGTCTTGTGCCACATGAATTCAGCCTGAATACACTGTATTTTTTTAAGGTCCCATAATTGATACAATGAGACCGCCACGGTCGTCTAGCGGTTAGAACGCTGGCCTTGTAATCCTGGGGTCTCGGGTTCGAATTTATAACTTGTGTTGGGCAAGGCCGTGGTCTAGGCAACACGGAGTTTTCCTCCGTGGCACCCCAACAATTACTCCATTCACACACAGAAGAAGGCAATGGCAAACCACTTCGGGATCATCTGCCAAGAACGTATATGAACAGGCCCCAGTCCGAGAAAAGGATGGAAGGACCCTGTTAATATGGACCTGTCGTCAGACAGAACACTAAAAAAAACATGAACAATGGAGTCATGAGTTGTATGCGCTTCTGTACGTCTATTTTCATGTGCCTTCATCAGCCAATCAGCTGGTAGTTGGCATTTTAAGTATTCATTTACTTTAAACACGAAGTAAATTCCAACATGATATTCCGCAGTGTTGCCAAAGTGCAGAAATGTACTGCTGAAATGCATGATATAAACATTATAAGTGGGCAAAGAATTATTAATGAGGGCTATATCACAGTTTGTATTTTGCTTTCTCTCTGCACGCCACTTGCCTTCGATCCTGTTAGTAACTTTAGCTTGTAATAATGCATGTGGAAATCAATACATTTTATCAGAGTTATAGTCTGGCCAGCAGCCCAATAGTACAAGTATTTAAATCCTGTATTTCTGTACAGTAAAGGTAAAGAGAGAACAGAGATCGCTAGGGGTGGTTTATGCAAGAGTTATTTGTGCATATTTAATTAAATTCTAATTCAGGCATACAGAGTGCAGTATTGTTTCTTGCCTTGTGTTCACAGGTGGTGGTGTTCTCGTATCAGGAGGTGGGACCAGGTGTTTACGACTGTTGGGCGACCTTCGTCAAGCCCTGGGGAGAGCGAACGTATGTCACGTGGTGAGTGTACCATCACGAGAAGCGCGTATTAACGTTATACAGATTTATTTCAAGAAACTTAAAACACTTCAATGGTCACTGAGACAAATTTCCACCTTAGTTTGACGCAGCTTTTATCCATATTGAATTATAAGTCCTAATATGCATTTATCTTTATTACAAATGGAAATTTCCAATAAGGCTTTGTGGTAGAAGTACGTTCCAAATTGAGCTCGCGATATCACGGTAATGGCTTTCTTGAGTTACAAAAAAAAAATTGGATAATTTCATTCGAGACAAAAACTTTCATTTTAAGTACTTGCTTTAAAATTAACCACTATATGCAAGTATAAATTAAATCTAAAATATATTTTAGGTCATAATTAATATTGTACTAATCGACTGTAACGGATGGGACTGTCTGCTGACCGCAAGAGAGTCCCTCAAGTTTTGTTCTGTAGTAATTCCATTATCTGTTTTGTTTATCCATTGCATATCTTGCAATTACTGTTTTTGCACAGATATTCAGATGAAACCGAGAGTATATTCTTCACAACTGCACTGTAAATACATGGGAACTCCTCATTCAGGCAGGTCCAGCAGGTAATCAGAGGAATTTCTGGTTATGCACCTCGAAACCCGTGTCTGTTAAAGTATAAGTTACTTTTTCATATACTTTTATTAATATTTTTTTATTTTTATAGGAAAATTTTTAAACGGATTTCATAACCACTTCTGCCAAAGGCGGGAAAAAACTCTTTCAATGTAGCTTTTAGGTTTTGTAATTTTTGGTTGAAAGAATAAACCTAAACGCTCAATCTGAATGTAAAGTTCTTTAAGAAAATCATTCAACGACTGCGTAATTTTTCAAGGCATGTTCTCCATTGGCGAAACTTAGTCTAGTATTCAAGTTTATCGTTAATGCTACACTATTTAATAACCCCAACAATCCCATTATAATCTTAATATATTTTTAAAGTAATATATAATAGCTGCCGTTGTGTTATACAGTTATTGACTGTGGTCTCTCTGCCCACTACCAGAGCATTTGCCATTGATGTACTCCAAAAGTCTGTTGTACTAAAGACGAGTTAATTTTCCACGTTCCGAGATAATTTTGATAGCGTCTCTTGCAGATATAAATACAGTTTATTTATCTTTGTATCCTTCTTTTGTAAAGTTCACTATCTTCATAACCTTTTATAACATCATTTTCAGTCAGTTTGGTATCGTTTTTCATACCTTAGACCTGGTTACTGTTGAATTCTGGTGCAATGATCTTAACATGTGTAATTATACCACGCGATTTCCAAACAGCCAAACTTGTGTCATTCTTACAAACATAAACAAATTGTCTCCATTCAATTTTTAAAGTTATGACAAGTCAAATGGATTAAAAATATCTGTTCATGTAGGGTAAATGATTGGTCTAATATATGCATATATACATTTCCTCTTCAGCTAGAATATTACACTATATGTCTACTGACGTCATCAGCTTGCATAGCGAAAATATATGTTTTTAATCCGTTTAACTAAATCGCATTCGACATTAGAGTTCATATATATTAAATCTTGTCCGTCTAATCACAATAAATTCTTATTAAATATTAAAATATTGCAATAATTAACAATTACAATATTTAAAATATCAAATGATGTTCTTTATCGAAATATTCGATTTACATTAGACCATCGAATATTTCGATAAAGAACATCATTTGATATTTTAAATATTGTAATTGTTAATTATTGCAATATTTTAATATTTAATAAGAATTTATTGTGATTAGACGGACAAGATTTAACACAGCTCCCACGACAACCTCTAAGAAATGGAGGAAACTGACAAAATTATTGGAAGATTTGGCTTTCGGCAGTAATTTCAATGTTGTCACTAAAGAACCTAGTCCTAAAAGTATAAGCCGACAAATATTGTTGTGATGGTAATACACACAACAATATCAACCCCGCGACGGATAATTTTGTTTCAGTAAAACGGTGCACCGCGACTTAGAGGAGTAGTGAGGTAATTTATAACGTTAATAATAATAAATTGATACAGTATATGTGTTGTAAAGTGAGACAGTCCGCTATTAGAGATTATTTTCTCGCGAAACACTGGAGACTAATTTACTATGTTCCACGAAACATCTTCTCTAAGAATCCGGTTTAACTTCTGAGCCTCTGATCTTGTCTCGTAATACCCTTTATCGATGGAGAATGCTAAGAATTTATAATATTTCAATCCAAAGTAAGATTGTTATATTAATATTATCACCAAAATTTAAATTATTTTATTAGGTTTAATGTAAATTATGACATTTAGCCAGGCTTCGAAATCCTGTGTGGTACTGAAGACATGCTTGAAATATTTTCATAAATTGATTCAAACAATGTTGCCCCCTTCATGTTCAAATTCCATTTACCCCTACACAAAAGGACAACGTTATTCTGCCCAACGAGCCATATGACCTCAGGCCTTGTTAGCTATGAATGGTAATATCTCTAACTCCCCTACCAATTTCACAACATACCCAAAAATCGTCTGTTTAACCTAGTGGCACAATAATCACGTAACTTTTCTATATTTCCAAAATGGCTTACCAGAGAAGAATTCTTAAATATAGATGTCATATTCCCTTAAAAACTCATCTTTGAAATAATCCCAACATGATGGCAATGGGATTAGGACTGGTACTATTTTTATATTTTAATAACACAAACACTTTAATACCATATTTTAGGTCATATTTGTTTAAGATTAAAAATAACAACCAACTCACAAACCATACTAGGCCAGATTACATCCGAAATCGCAGGAGGGTCGGTGTAATGCACTACCAAAACGCCCGTAACTAAGAAACAAATGCTAATTCGATGATGCCGGCTGGCACACTGATTCACTATGAATGTAGGCCGCACCCCCTAGCGACAGAAGCTCGTACTACATCCGGTTCGCCCTCTATTGACACAGTCTTGAAACTTTCCGATCGCACCTCGTAAATATCATAGACGTGATATAGGATCATGGTCTGTAATGGTATCATTTTCGTGTATCTATCAGCATTACTTTCCCCCTTAAAAGCTTCTGAACCACGTGAACCCATAAATCTAGGGACAACTCCATCTTTCGATCCTTTCAATTCTTACGTCACTGAACTAAATATGACAGCCGTGCGAAGTACCAACACCAGAGCTACTTAATGCGCAATACTCACGCAAAGAGATTTTGGTAGAATATTTAACTTCTGAATAATAATATTTTTTAATATGTGAAGCAAAAATAATATTCTGTTTGATGGCAGTAAACAACGAACCGCTGTTGGAGCCAAGCATCTGTGAATTTATGGAGATAGATCATTAACAATTTGTGTTTGAATTACTTTCCTAAGTTAACAATTACGAACATGGCGACGGTGCGTAACTCTGAGGATGTGTTTGTGTGTGTGTGTTTGAAGCAGTCATGTAAAGGATAACGCACGAAACGTCTATCAAACTTAGGTGTTTATTCATTGGTTTATTTTCAGTGAAAAATGTAGTAGAAATACGAATCGAAATATCAGCCTTTACATTAGTTACCTGATAATTATGTTTTCGTGTATTTCTCGCTTTATAGTCTTCACAATCCTTTTAGTACATATTTTACTTAAATCGATACCATGAAAATCGTCGCAGTGGTCACGAAATTCCGCATCCCTTGATCTGTGCTCGTGAGGATACATGAAGAATTTGTTAAAATAAAAAAAAATAGCAGATTTAAGATGAAATCTCACTGTGCAACAAGGACAGTGCTGGTGCCAAATAGAAGAATTGGCAAAGCAAATATCAGGCCGATTAATTAGTTTGTCACACATTACGTCAAACACGAGCGGGACACCATGACTAAGAATCTGATTCGTCCCTTCAATTCGTATTTTAAATTTAATCTGCTCATTTATTTGAGTTTTCTACATTTCCATAAATACTTAATCACGACTTATCTGTTGATATTTCGTTCCAGATTTTTATTGAAAATAAACTAGTAAAGAATTACTCGAAATAATCAGTACATAAATATAAATTTATCGGTCATGATGAAGTTTAGTAAACATATGGTAGCATTCAATTGACAATGACTAAGATAATATAGGATGTCAATTGCCAGGTATTTTTCAAAATTTATAAGTGAGGAACAGTGAGAAATGTGATAATATTTGTTAATTATTTAATTATTAATTAATTAATTATTGTTAATTATTTATATCTTGTTAATTATTGTATAAACTTTTAATTAAGCCATAACAAAGTTAAAGGAAGTGAAGATTAAATTTAGTCAGATGTTTTATAGATAGAACAAGGGTATATTTTAGTAAAACCAAGGTAAATCAATACCTAACGAATTGAGAGTAAGAGAGGACAGGTATGACTCACGTGGCACAGAAACATTCTGGAGTTTTGATGAGGAAATGGAAATCCGGATATGAAACGACCTTAACGGAATCAAAATTAATGGACATTTAGAGAAATTAGGTTATAGAGAGGATTATTTAGTACGTGACTTGCATTTTGGGGGTAACCACGTTCTAAATTAACTCCAAGACTGCTTTGGCTCTTTGAGTCCTGTCATGCGAATGCTGGGGTTGTACTTCAAAGTTCGCAATCGCTTTCTCTTACGTCATGAAAAATTAATTGAATAAATTCCTTCGTATTTTATTTGGCACAGCTGAAAACTTGTTGCTTTATACCGCAGAAATAAATGTTTCAGAATATATAGGTTACGACAGAGACACTTAAAAAATAAACCACAAAGATGAAGTTAACTGAACGTGGAAAGAAATGAGATTCTTTAGTTTCAGAGAATTAATAAAACATAAAGAAATTTTGAAAAAAAAATTTAAGAAATAGATTAATACATAATAAATATAGGTACTTCGAACCACTTAACAATTTGTATTAAAAAAATAAGACAATTTCGAGGCAGAATTTTTTTTTAGTTATAACGTTTAAGATTGTACGAAGTTACATAGATACTAAATATT